GGGGGTGTGTGGGGGTGTGTGTGTCTATCCAATGACACCGTGGAAGGAAGAGCTACTGATGTTGTTTCTGTGGAGATGACAGCCCCAAGCACCCATGGAAACAACACTTGTGAGGAGGGCATGGCACTAGGCAGAGTTCCATTCTATTGTCCAAGGGGCTACTATGAGGTAGAACTGACTGGATGGCATCTAACAATTGAACCATGGGGTCCCAGTGGCATGTCTTGGTGTGTTTACAAATCCCCTTACAATAACACTGGATGACCCCCACCCCCGCCAATGAGTCTACAATTAGTTTCAAGGCAGCTACTACTCCCCACAAGGACTGGCTATGGATCGACATTGGTTTGTCTGCATTATAATGGCTAGCTGTCAGTCCCAGCACAGCCCATCAACAGTTCTAGAATTTTCCTAGCCTATTGTGCTACCTGCCAGCTATTCAAATGAGGGGTCAAAGTAGTGGTATAGACCAATCATAGTCCTGTTATAACAGCTTCAACTAGGCTTCAGACCCCGGGAGTAGACAGCTCCTTACAGATAGTCTCTTCCCACTCCTCTACGTCCCAAACCCAGCACTACCCACCAGTCACCCTTGACATACTAACCTAAGAATAATCCGTGGTGTTGCTAAGTGCTATTGAGTTGATTTCAAGTCTTAATGAGCCCTCGGGAAAGAGTGCAACTGCCCCCATGAGTTTATCTAGGTTGTCATCGGCCCAGGTTCATCGGTTGTACGTAGGCTCGCTACACTGTGCGCTGTGCATTCGAACCAAATCCAGGGCCCCCAACAACAGCAGCAACCACCACCTTTACGGGAGCAAGTCTCCCGGTCTTCCTCCGGCAGAGCTGTTGGGTACTTGATATCCACCAGATGTTAAATCAGCATTGGTTCCAGTCTTTGGCTCAGGAATGACAAAGACTGGTGTGTTGCAGATGGCAAGCTTTCTGCTGATGAAAGGACTAGAGCTGACCGTGGAAGGTCTGGGTGGGGTGGACAGATGGGGCATAGAGAACAGAATGTGCTAAATGAATAGGACTCCCAGACTCTAGGCTGAAGGTTCTCAGAGACAGACGGGACTTGGGGCGATATTTACCATGATACGGAGTTCTGAGCTTTTCATGAGCTCCACCATCCTGGGCAGAACTCCTGCGGCAACCACTTGGTCAATGCGCTCCTGGCAGCCATCGGTGAGGTAGGACAGGGCCCAGCAGGCATCCGAGAGAACCTCGACGTCATCGTGTTGCAGGAGGTTTAAGAGGGCAGGCAGCATTTCCTTCACTGCCTCTTCACAAGGGTAGGGGTCCTTGTTCCGGCACAGGTTGGAAAGGGTCCACGCAATGTTCCGCAGAAACGTGATCTGTAACAAAGAGATTGCTCCCAGCGTCCAGGGCACAAGAAAGAAAATACTAGCAGCAATGTTTCTTTGCCATCTCGGATCTATATCATTGACTGACACGAACCAAAGCTTTTGAGCTTCAAATGGAATCTTGTTCTAGGTAATGAGATGAACTAGGGACACAGGGCAAATATTAAATTTCACACTCCAATGTTAAATGGAGGTCCGCTTATAGTCTCCAAAGCATCTTTCCCCACACCGTTCAATTGACAACCTAATTTGGTCAAGATCAAGCAGGAGTTAGCGGACCTTCCCACAATCCAGCATTCTACCATCGCGTCATAATCACCTTTCTCTTCAAGTAGTCTTTTCACTCCACTTCTGGAGCCCACCCCTCCTCCTGCCTTTCACGACCACGCCCCAAGCTTAACTCTTCCTCTGGAGACAGCCTCCACCCACATGAAAACCCTTCCTACCATCTTCAACCGAGATTCTTCCCTCGCCCCTCTCCAGCCATCAGCCCACTCCTGCTTTTCCTAGTCTGTCCTCAAAGATGTTGTCTCTCTTCGCTGCCACCTCGCAGCTTCCCTTTTGTCCTCCAGCCCAGTCCAGGCTGGCTTCTGTCCCTCTTTCTTTGTAGTTCCTCTTCAGTCTCCAAGGCCAACGGCTGCTTTTCAGTCCTAAAGTTACTGTCCTCAAATTGGCTGTATTTCATAGCCAGCCATTCCCTTGGGGAAAAGCTCTTTTTGGCATCCTTGACACCAAACCCTCTGGTTTTCTATCGACAAATGGGTTCGTCCCTCTCAGTCTGCTCCACAAGCGGGCTGCTCTCTGAATGATACAGGCCCAGGATCTGGTCCCAGCTCTCCTTCCAGCCTAGGCTAGGGGCTGGGAAGCCTTTTCTGTCAAGGAACAGGGTAACAGTCATTTTCAGCTTTGCCGGCCTTACAGTTCCTGCTGCAACCATTCTTCTCTGCCAGGCCGTAGCCCCAAACAGCTACAGCCGACATGTGAATGAATGGGTCTGGCCATCCACCAAGCAAACTTCGTTAATGAAAACAAGCCAGCTGCATTAGGTTTGCTGACGTCTGCCCCTTGTCCAACAGGATGATGAGAAGGGCACACACTCGCCTACAACTACCGATGCCTCTGCCTGGCCTAGCTGCAAGGCCGCCTCCAACGTCTGGCACTTTGGCGTCTGCAACTGAAGCTCTGATTCCTCCCTCTCACTCTCTCTCCTCGTTTCTATAAGAGGACAATCATCTAATGGGCCTAACCTGACACCTCTGAGCATCCTTACTTCTTTCTGTCTCCTTTAATGTCTCCATGAGAGCCACGGCAGCATAGTGGATAAGTGCTCAGCTGCTAACCGAAAGTTCCGTGGTTTGAACCCACCAGTCGCTCAGAGGAGAAGATGTGGCAGTCCATTTCTGTAAAGATGGCTGCCTGGGAAATCCGATGGGGCAGGTCAACTCTGTCACTTAAGAGTCATCAGGAGTTGAAATCAACCCAACAGCAACCTAGTTGGATTTGGGGTTTACCACGTCTAGCACCTCAACATCTCAGGGAGCCCTGTGTTTGACCACATTCTTCAGTAATCCTACACTAAGCAGCCAGAAGGGTCTTCCTTGAGGGATCAGACTCCATCACTTCCTGGCTTGAGATCTTCCAAGGGCTGCCCATTGCTGCCACCAGGGTGGTGCCTGCACCAACTCTCTCCCAGAAGGCTAACGCTGTGTGTGTGTGTGTGTGTGTGTGTGTGTGTGTGTGTGTAAATACACATAACAAGCATCCCATTGTAACTTCTGTACATGTGCATTTCAGTGGCATTAATCATTGTATTGTATAATCGCCGAGATCTACTTTCACAACTTTTCATCCGCCCCCTTGATATCCAGTAAGCGGTAACTGTCCATCTCCCTTCCCTCTGGGAACCTCGAATCTACTTTGTCTCAATAAGTTGGCCCGTTCTAGAGAGTCCATGGCAAGACTCCACGCATAAGAGTCAAACTGCTCCCTGGGGCTTTCTTGGCCGCCATCTTTACTGAAGCAGACCGCCCTCTGCATCTGCCACAGAGCTGCTGGGTGGGGTGGCATCTCATAGAAAACCCTCTGGCAAAAAAACCCCATGTACCACCCAGACCATCCACTGGGGTTCAGGTTCCACAGTAGCCCACAAGAACAGGTCATTCCTATCAGCCGAGCCATGCAGCGCCTGTCATTTGTCTCTGACGGATTTCTGTCAGCATCACACCTTCAAGGCTGATCTCTGTCATCACACGTATCAGCATGCAGTTCTTTCTTCCGGTGGGATAATAGTATTCCACCATTGTATTTACACAAACCATTTTTTGCTTCTGTTGATGGACACTTGGGTGGCTCCCTACCTTTTGGCTACTGTGAGAGGGCCTGCTACACACACTGATGTACAGGTGTGTCCTGGAGCTCCTCTCTTCCACTGGGAGGGGACATACTTGAAAGTGGAACTGCTGGCTCACGTGGTCCTTCTACGTGGAGCTTTGTGAAGAACTATCTCTGTGGCGGCTGCATCATTCTACCTTCTCACCAGCCAGCACCACTTCTATGGCTTCACCTACGTCTGTTGTTTTTTTCTTCAGTTGAGCACTATCTTTAGCAGGTGGGAAGTAGTATCACCTTCTGGTTAGGTCATGCATTTTTCCAAGGGAACAGCTATTCACGTGCTCATTAGCGCTCTCTCTCTTTCCTTCGGATCCTCTTGGCTTTTGAAAGCTACCCTCTCTTCCTTTGTGTTGGAAATCAATCAAACACGAATTTCCCTCCTGACCCAGAGAGTCCTCTCTGATGGTCACATTAACCAACTTTGCCTCTAACCTCCCAACCTAGACCCTGTCACCCACGAACAGAACCAACAATGCCATTATATCCACCTTTGCTCTTGAGTGGAGAACTCAGCCATCTACTTCTGCAGGTGGCCAATCACCCCTAAAATGAGCATTGACTCGGGACCGAGCTGACGACCCCACATTTCCCAACCTTGAGAACATGTCATGAGACTAGGCTGAGAAAGAAACTCACTGGTATGGTTGTTGAAGCCAGGGCTAGTAGATGTGGGATAATGTTGCTTGAGATAACGATGTCTCTGAACTCTGTGTTGTCACCTGTAGATAGATCAGAGCATGGCATTCAGAGAGAGAAAAGAGCGAGCCCTGGGGCTGGGGCTTTTTTAAAAGGTCTGCCTAGTGGATTAGAGGCCTGTACTCCTTCCAAGATTTGGCAAGTTGATGGAATAGCCAGGTTCTAGACCTTGAGTCTCCAAGGAATTGACTGGCTGGTCAAGCTTGACATAAGCAGCAGAGTTGTCACACAGCTGCAGCTGCTACTATAAGCAGACATTATGGACCTAAAAAGGAGACCTGGTGGAACATCATGAAAACATGTGACTGCTAACTGAAAGGTCAGCGGTTCAAACCTACCTGTGGGAGAAAAATGTGACTTCATTTTTCCATAAAGGCCACCTCCTTAGAGACTCTAGTGGCAGTTCTGCTGTCCTACAGGGTTGCTACCAGTCAGGATCCATGAAACAGCTATGGGGTTTGAGGAGGTATGGACATACAAAGGCCCAGGGAGTAGAAGACTATAAAGGCTAACTGGATTTCACAGCATAGCTCTCCGGAAGACAAAGCGGTCTTCCCAGAAGCCTGCCGTATGGGGCAGCAAGTTCCAAATGCAGTTCAGAGCAAAATGGGGGAAATCAATAGGTGTTGGCGATCAGCTGTCTGCCATTTAGCCTCGGCGACCAATCAGACTCTGGCCGTCTGCCCAGTCTTGCCCGTCCCCCATGGGCCCCATGGCCAAACTAGAGGCAAAAAGTCTCTGTGAGAGGCACTTTCTGTCCCATGAGCCTACAAAAAGCAGACCGAGTTTGTATTCGGAAGCTGTCAATTCTACCTTCTCAAGTCCGTGGGGGCCTGGTCACACCATGTGTTCCCACTCGCACTGTTGTGAGGAGGTGTTCTTTTCCCGAGTTTGAAGTTGCCAATGTCTGGCTGATCAGAATTCAGCAAAGTCACGAGTATGTTTCCTCAGGGAGTGTTTGCATTTGCTTTCATCAGGAATCAAGTCAGGGTGGGGTAGCATGGGGTGGGGAGCAGTCCTGTAGCATTCCTTCCTCTGCTCCGACTTTGCTGGAGCCGAGAGGAACTCGAGCCCCCAAGTTCATGATGACGCTCATCGAATTGAGTTCTCAGGGGGAGACTTTAGCTTAGAGTAACACTTGAAAGTACATTCCCTTGGCAACTTTCCATTCAGCTCAGCAGACGTCGAATTCTCTTGAGAGGCCTGGGTGATGCCAGAGCTTGTCCCAAATGCCTACCTTGCATGGGCCAAAGCCTTCTCTCGTCTCTGGAGCCAAGAACCCAAACCAAACCCAGTGCTGTTGAGTGGATGCCGATTCCTAGCACCCCCACATACGATGGAGTAGAATAGAACCCCACAGAGTTCTCCTGGCTGTCAGCTAGGAGACAGCTTGTCGGGGCTTTTGTTCACCCCCATGGCCAACACAAACTGTTCTCCCCACCCTAGGCTTCCTATCAAGCCCTTCCAAACCCAACCCAACCCACTGCCTTCCAGCCGATCTTACCTCACTTGACCCCTTAGGACAGAATTGAACAGTTTCTTAAAGTTTCTGAGACTCTACATCTTTATGTGAGCCGACAGCCTCAACTTTCTCCCTCTGATCGGCTGTTGTGTTTGAACCGCTGATCTTGAGGTCACCTCCACCCAGCCAATGCTTCCCCTACCCGGCCATTTGGACTCTCGTATTGGCACATGGCCCCAGAAGCTTGGAGCTTCAGCGTTATGCCCCATCACTTGACCTTTGGACTCAATGTGGCTCCCCATTTTGAAAACGACTTGCTGTACCTTCCCCCATGGCATTTCTCAGTTTTTATCCTGGGAGGCCAGTCCTTAGGAAAGGATGTGAAGGAGAGGGTCTGAAGGATGTGAAGGAGAGGGTCTGCAGAAATGAGTGAGACCTTCAAGGCATCGGATTGACATAAGCACCGTCCAGTGGGTCCAAACATACCAACCACGGTGAGGACGGCTCAGGACCAGGTCACGTTTCCATCAGTCCCTCAGACGCAAGATCACCGTGGTTGGCTCCAACCCAATGGCGCTAACAGCAAACAGCTACTGGCCAAGGTTCCAGAATATTCCATACATGCTCAAAGAGTGCCCATACCGGCTGCCTGCTGGGACCACTTCCCACAGCCTGCTCGAGATGGGAGAGGCTCACCTGCTATATTACCCAGGGCCCACACTGCCTGTTCACACACACACACATTGGGGGAAGACAGGAGCTCCATCAGGGGCTGGATGGCACCCGCGTCCACGACAGCCTGGGTTAGCTCCGAGGGCCCTGAGGCGATGTTGGTCAGCGCCCAGGCTGCTTCGAACTGTAGATGAGGGTAAAGGAAACACTTCAAAAAGTCCACCAGCCGGGGGACCAGTCCCGCTTCCACGATCACCTTCAGGGGTGGGTTTCTCTCCTGGGACAGCAGTTTCCTGGGCAAGGGAAAAGAATTGGCCAGCTGGCCGCATGCCGGCACACAGTGCAAGCCTCACCCGTGGATGCTCTTGGCCTTCCTAACCACCCAGTGGGACCGCCGGCTGCTCAGCTCCCCAGCACTTGCCCCTCCCCCTGCAGGTACGGTCTACCAGCAGGGCTTTGAGTAGAGGCCAATCTAAAGGAGGCAATTCATCTCCGACAACCCGCTGCATATTTTAAGGACAGTGTAGAGTAGCAATTGAATCTCACTTCGGGAGGGGACCATTGTGCCACGAGCTCATTTCTAGCTCCAACCCAGCAAACAGCAGGGGGATGTCTGGTGATACCTGGCCGTCTGGGTGGCCCAGAAACATAGGACCGGGTCTGGGCTATTCATCCCATGGACTATTTCATCCAGGTTGGGCCCGGTCTGTAAGGAAAGACATTCAGGTCAGAGACTCAGCCCGAAGCCGCAGCAAAGGTCATCTTGTCTAGCCATCCATCTGATTAGAACCAGGCTGGCTTGGACAGGAGGCCGCTTTCTGGGCCATGCCAGCAGAAGGAAGGATGTGGGTGGTCCCCCAGGACCCTGACGGAGGGATAATTCTTATCAACCATACCGCCCCCCCACTTCTTCCCCTACTCCCTTCCCCACCCCACCCCAAAACTCACTGCTATTAGGTTGATTCTGACTCATGGCTACCCTGAAGAACAGGGCAGAGCTGCCCTGTGGGTTTCTGAGGTTGTAAAGAAAAAGGAAGCCTCATTTTCCTCCTATGTGACAACTATGGGTTTGAACTACTCACCTGTGGTTAGCAGCCAACCACCTATGGTCAGTAACCCAGTATGCCACCAGGGCTTCTTGCCTTGGGTCACCAGTATCTCGCATTAAAGGTTTGCAGTGAAAACACGCTCACAGACATTAAAGTAGCAGAATGAACTAGCAAAAGTGGTCAGAATCAACTTTTTTGGAATTCTAGAAATTAAGCAAACACATGCAGTTATCTGGTTTATTCAACCAAAACAAAACAACGAACAAAAGACCACTGTGATCGACTCATCTCCGATTCACACTGACTCTGTAGGACAGAGTAGAACTGCCCTGCAGGGTTGCCCAGGGCTGGGCATTAAACTGCCCCCTGAAAGAACAGCTCAAACCCACCAGCTGCTCCTTGGAATACAAGATGAGGCTCTCATGAAGACTGGAGCCCTCTGTTGGGTTTTGAAGGCATCCAAACCCCAAATCTGCTCTTTCCAGTAATTGTCAGGGGTCTTGGTTTTCGAAGCTACAAGGGAGCTGGAGAAGGGGTTGGTTAGGACAACTTGAGACGTCCCCAAACTTCCTGCTTTTATGGAGAACCAGCCTTCTTCTAGAATAACCACCTTCTGGCTTGACTAAAGGGAAACCCTTGGTGACTCACCCTAACTCATCCAGGTAGAGCACCGAGGAAACACTCAACATTCCTCTGGTTCTTTAACCTTCCTCCCCCCACTATCGTGGCCCCAGTTCAACCGCCCAAATCCTGCTAGACTGGCGTATGTACATTGGTATAGATAAGAGCTTTCAATGTATGAAATCCAGGATAAATCCCTCAGAAACATGATTCCATGTGGTTATGGAAAGGAAGGGGGCAGGCGGAAAAGGGGAACTGATTAACAATGAGGGCCATATAACCCCCCTTGAGGGGGATGAATAACAGAACTGTGGGAGGAGGGAGACATGGGACAGTGTAAGATATGAAATATATATATATATATAAAATTTATTAAGGGTTCACAAGGATGGTAGGGGTGAGGGAGGGAGGGAATAAAGGAGCTGATATCAAAGGGCTCAAGTAGAAAGAAAATGTTTTGAAAATGATGGTGGCAGCATCTGTGCAAGTTCACTTGATGTAATTGACTTATGGTTTGTTATAATAACTGTATGAGCCCCCAATGAAATGATCAATAAAAACAAAAAGAAAGAGAAATTCTGGTAGCACAATGTTAAGCCCTGGGCTGCTCACTGAAAGTTAGGGGTTCAAACCCATCAGCCACCCTGCAGGAGAAAGAGATGGTAGTCTGCTTCTATAACGATTCAAACACACACACCACTGCTACGGAGGCTATTTCAGCTTACAACTACCTTGCATACTGTTCCGGAGGCCGTGGTTTTGAACAGCTGACCTTGGCAGTTAACAGACCCACACTTACCCGGCAGGGTCACCGGGGCTTCTTGAATTAAACAATCAAGGGGATAGAGAAAAATCAATAAAGCCAAAAGCTGATTATTTGATAGGAGAAATGAAATTGATAAACACTGAGTTAGAATGCCCAAGGTGGGGGTGGAGAAGAGAGAAGACTTAAATGACTAACAACAGGCATGAAGGTGGGAATGTTACTATTGACTTTACAGAGACAAAAAGCATTGTAAGGGTACAATTGCATGTCAACAAGTTAGACAACAGATAAAATGGGCAAATGCCTAGAAACACAAACTACCAAAATTGACTCAAGAAGAGGACATTGAGTTATTGGCACACTGTTAAAGAGATTTGTTAATTTTTAAAATACTTAAAATATTTACATGATTAAAGAAAAGCCCTGGTTCAGATGACTTAACTAGTGTCGTTTCCACCCACCTCCCCCAAACTTTGGAAGGACAGTTAGCACCAATCCTTCACAAACTCTCCAGAAAGAGAAAGGAAATAGTTCTCAACTTGTTGTATGATGGCAGCATTGTCCTGGTACCCAAACCAGACTAAGGCATCACAAGAAAGCTATGGGCTGAGATCTCTGATGAATGCTAATGAAAAAAATCCTCCAAAGACTAGCAAACCAAACCTAGCCACACCCATGCTCCTCCCTGCCCCCTAAAAAAGGACTTTACATCATGACCAAGGGAATTGAAAGATAATGGAATTCCCCAAGAATGTTTTAAAGTCCCCTCAAATATACATGTATGTTGGCGAAATAATACTGAAAAGTACTAGGGACTCCCAGAAGAACAAACAAATCTATCTTGGAAGAAGTACAGCCAGAATGTCCCTTAGAAATGAGAATCACAAGACTTCATCTCATGGACTTTGGACATGTTATCAGGAGAGACCAGTCCCTGGAGAAGGACATCGTGCTTGGTAAAGTTGGGAGGTCATCAAAAAAGAGGAAGACCCTCAACAAGATGGATGGACAGAGTGGCTGCAACCACGGGCTCAAACATCACAATTGTGAGGATGACGCAGGGCCAGATAGTGTGCCCTTCTATGGTACAAAGGGTCTGCAATCTCCCAGAAAGGTAAGGTTGTTGCAACATGTGAAAAATCAATATAATAAACCATAGTAATTCAATAAAGAAAAATTCTCATATGATCATCTCGGTTGATGTAGAAAAAAAAATATTCAACAAAACCCAGCAGCCTTTCTTGATAAAGATACTCTAAGAAGACCCTCTACCTGATAACAGGCAAGGATGGGAAACCCACACTTGATAAGAAAAAGACAGAGCTTTCTCCCTAAAGTCAGGATCAAGACAAGAATCCTCATTCTTATCACTTCTAGTCAATGTTTCACGAGAGGTTCTACAGAGAGCAATTAGGCAAACGTTTTATAAAAGTCACTACAATAACGCATATTTGAAAAGAAGTAGAAGTCTATTTGCAGATACAGTCTGTGGGTCTTGAAGGAGATCAGTTCCCTTGGAGGTAAGTTAGAACAGGTGCATATAGCTCTTATTTAGATAAGTTCCCTTGGAAGTTAGAACAGGTGCATATAGTTCTTATTAGCCAGGCTTCACCTTAGTGGAAAGTTTAGAAGCCCTTTTCATGAGTTAAACACTGCTCATGCAGCAAGTGAAGGTGATGATGATGAAATTGTTGCCAACAGGGTTGGTTCAAAGAGCTCTGGTTAAAAACAAACAAACAAAAAGCAGCTCTGGTAATGTAGAGGTGGATTTATATGTTAGGCTACTAACCACAAGGTCAGTAGTTCGAACGCGCCAGCTGCTCCGTGAGAGAAAGATGAGGCTGTCTGCTCCAGTAAAGATTTACAGCCCTGGAAACCCACAGGGGTAATTCTACTCCGCCCTATAGGGTTGAGGGAGGCAAGATCTACATGATGGCAGTGGGTTGGGTTTGGAGGGTTGGTTCGAGGAGTCCTGGTGGTACAGTGGGTTACACGCTGGGTGGTCAACCACAAGGTCAGTCGTTCAACTACACCAGTTGCCCCTCAGGAGAAAGACGAAGCTGTCTGCTCCGAACATATTGATAGCCTCAGAAACCAAAGGGGTGGTTCTACTCTGCCCTGTAGGGATGTAATGAGTCAGAATCCACTAAGTGGCAGTGAGAGGGGTTGGTTCAATTGTTTACAAGTGAAGGCAAATTTACAATCACTTTGAGGGGCAAATACGAGTTGGCTACAAGTCTGAAGTTCATGACTCAGGGACTTAGTGAATCTTGAATACAGAAAATTCTAAGGACTGACTATAGAAAATCCTCCCCTCTCCCTGACCATCTCCCTCCCACCGACCCCAAAAGAGTGAGCTAATTAACAAGTTCAGCTAAGCTGTCGGCTCAATAGAGAAAAATTGAAGTTTTTCCTCTATGTATAAATGGTTACTCTCACGCTAACCACCCTCTCTCACCGCTCCTTTCCTTCACCGGGCCTATGGGCACCAGGTGAGAACTGTGCGCCATCGGGTTGTCCATGGATGAGTTTTCAGGAGGAGGTTGCCAGTCTTTCCTTTCTAAGTGCCTCCAGGCAGACTCAAACGCCACCCTTTCCGTCAGCAGCTGAGCCCACTACTCAGGAGCTCCCTTCCTCTCTGGAGTGAACCCTACCCTAGAGCCTGTCAGCTTCTAAGTCTACAGAACACATTCAAGCAGCCACGTGGGCTAAGGGTGTGCTTTGCACATGGCCTCTCCGCCCACAGCACCAGGACGCACCCCTTCTACCACATCCTTAGAAGACGGCTTGGAGAAGGCATCTGTGATGTTCCTTCTCTTTAAGGTATGTTCGTCCTTCTTGGCCTTCCGGAGCTCTATGCTGACCTCGATCCGCTGTTGCCGCCTTGCCTGGGCAGGAAAGAACATGAGCGCTTAAAGACAGGGGTGGTGGTAGGGGGTGGGGCGGGGTGTGTGTGTGTGTTACCGGTTCAGTCCTGTGAACTAGCCTGAAGGCACCGCATTTATCTTTATAACTGCAACAGGCTGGAAGGCATGCCGCTAGCTAATCTGCCTTACTTACGTTCTCGGCTCTTTCTATACCACATCTGGAAAAATATCCCTACTTGCTCCCTCAGCCCAAGATGAGCATGCACACACGCCACAAGTGTCTCTGCTTTGAGGGCACGTGAACAAAGCAGTCCGCTGCCTCCCAGCTTGTGGTGGGACCCGGATCTTGTAGACCATTGTTTCTCAAAGTCGGTGATATCACCCCCCCAGGAGATGCTGGAACGATCAGAAGAGCTGCCACATCAGATACCTACATTTGATCTTGGATGATGGCCTATAGGACAAGAGTTTTTAATTTCAAGGGAGGTGCTGTGTTTTTTGTTTGTTTCTGAAGAAGCGGAATTGGCCAAGTTTGAGAACCTATTCTAGAGCATTGCTGACACCTGGACCTCCTAAATGTGGGTAGATAGATGGACTGGGGACAACTGATAGATGGCTCAATCCCTATATGCCCTGGGGACGTTGGTCAATAGGTCTCTCAAGCCTTCATCCAGTCCCACGAGCTGCACTTGGACACCAAATCCAGGGATCTCATGATCCAAACACTTTGCTTATATGAACCAGCAGCGGACAGACTTCCTGGTCGTGAGAACTCTTAGGGAATGACGTCGTAACCCTTTTGGATAGATAGGGTTTAGGTGGAAGATTTAAGTATTGATGATATGGCGGCTCCACAAGCCCCTCCCTCCCTGTCATGGAGTCAATCCCCACTTATGGTGGCCCTATAGGACAGAGTAGAACTGCTCCTGTGGGTTTCCAAAACTATATCTTTATGGGAGTAGAAAATCTCATCTTTCTCCCTTGGAAGCGCTGGTGGCTTTGAACTCTGATCTCATTGTTAGCATTGCAGTAGGTAAGCCAGTACACCACTAGGGATTCTTCTCAGCCGAATAACTGTCTGAAAACCACCGCTGATACGTCTAGGGTGGTGGCTGTGGAGGAGGGGACACTGGTCGGGAATTGAACCCAGGTCTCGTCTCCCCCGTGGAAGGGGAGCATTCTACCACAGAATCACTACTGTTCCAAGTATCACTTGTAAGGAATCGGTATAGGCATATCCATTCCTGAAACAAGCTGCAGAACACTATTCAATGCTTTCTTGGTGAGAGTCAAGATGGCATTACGTGCAGACCTCATTTTATTGAGCTTGACAAATATTGCAATACTGGGTGTTGTTGTTTTTTTTAAATCAATTTAAGGTTTGTGGCAACCTGGAGTCAGACAAGGCACCAGTTTTTCCCAACAGGATGCACTCACTTCCTGTCTCTACCTTCCATTTTGGTAATCCTCGAACTATTTCACTGTTTGTTGTTTGTTTTGTTTTTCATAATGCTGTTGCATTTGTCATAATATACCTAACTTTTAGCTAAAGAAGAAACCCAATCACACCTTATTGTATGAGTTTATCACAATGGTCTGAGACTGGACCCACCATCTCTCAGAGGTCAGCCTGTAGATGACAAGGCAGCAACATCTGTGAGGCCGACCCCAGCCAGTGGCCCTGCTGCTTCTTTACCGAGGGAGCCTCTAATACAGAGGGGATGGACCTCTGGTTTCTAACCCTCCATCTGGTTGGCTCTTCCCACTGTCAGGTCAATTCCTTCCTTCCAGCATGTTCCCTTTACTCTGCGATGGTCTTAGAAGCCAGAGAGCCAAGCTTACAAGAATGAATGGCAGTAGGGGTGATGCAGCTTCTGACACTGTCCTGACCAGGCTACTGTGACCTTGGACTTCCCTCCTTCTCAAGAGCCCTTCAGAGTTCCAAGCGATAGCCATCCTCCTGCAAAACCTCGACTCAACTTCACAGATGCAGGACAGAGAGCCCGAGCCCACAAGGAGGTTAGACATCCACATCCATTCTGCCCGAGTCCTGCCATTCCCCCAGCAGTGAGGAGAGCGGGGCTGTACACACCAGTCCCAAGTCTTGCTTCTGCAAGGCTGCACTAATGCTTGATGGCCACACCTGTATCCCCAACCCTTTAGCTCCTTGGCCAGAGTCCTTAGTATGATCAATTACAGCCAAACATCTACATACCAAATCCAGAGAGAGAAAAAGGCCGTTTTGGGATGGAGATACTGAAGCTCTGTAAGTTAAGCCGTTTCAAGATCTCATGGCAACTGTAGTGATTTCTGGAGTTGTGAGTCTTTGACTCGAGGACAGAGTTGGCCAGAGGACTTTGTTCCTCCCCACCCTAGTACTTCATCGTGGATGCTTCAGAAGGCAGGAAAGTGGAAAGCAGTGTTCTGAGCACCCTAGGTACCTATCGACAGTGAACTTTTTGCTCAGTTTTCCCACCTCTCCCCCCAGTGTTGGATGTGTTTCTACCCGGCGCTTTCTACTGCACTTGCCTTTCCTAGAGGCAGTGCTTCGTACTCACGGATGCATCTTTGCCTCGGTATTTAAATTTCCTCAGCCTCTCTTGTGGAGCTTCTAAAGCGGCCATATTGACTGGAAGGAGTAAATCACCTGTAGGTCAGAGAAACATTCTTTTTTAAGTGTGAGTTAATACAATAAAGACATCTGATTTCTGAACCCTTAAAGATCTCACAGAGCAATCTTGAGGAGAGTCTGTGGGCATCACCTTACCAGCTCTACCGGCAATGAGCCCCAGGGGACCAGCCCTGGGGTGTAGCATTAAGTAAGTGAAACCAGAGGCAGCCTGGCTTGAACCGGGCCTTGACAGCTAGGATGGGCCTGGGAAGAGAGCCCAGAGTCCTTTCAGATGGTGGTGCCCATGGAATTCTGTAGAGAGAATATATGGAGGAGGGTGAGGAGCCCAGCCAAGCTGCATTAGGAAAACGTCTCAGTCTTCCCACACCCAACCCACCAGCACATTTGGTCAGAACAGTCCCGGTGAGTCTATCCTTCTTGATTCTTGGTAGGCTGCCTCTACCCTGACCCACGCACCCATGATCATTCACCTACCCCATTGTCATCACCTCCCAGCTGGTCACCCTGCCTTGTCCCAGTCCATGCTCCACACAGCACCCATGTAATGGTTTAAAGAAAATAATCTGATCCCATACCTCCCCTATTTCCAAACCCTCTCCTGGCTGCCCACCAAGCTGAAGAGAAGAGAAGAGAAGAGAAGGGAAGAGAAGAGAAGGGAAGGGAGGAGGTGGCCCCCAGTCCACCTCATTGCCCTCAACTATTTTCTTGACCATTGGTTGCAGACCTTCTAGCTTTCTGGGATCACGTCCAAAAAGTTCATTAACTTTTAGTTTCATCTGTCCGTGAGCTTCTTGAGACACACACCCACCATCCCTGCCCCGTATACCAAGCTTACCCTCCTCTGAAGCTCTGAGGACAGGCTGTCCCTCCCACAGGAGATATTCTGCTCAAATCTCTGCAAGTTGGCGCCCTGCCATGCATTTTCATCTCAGAAGCCATCTCTACAAAGCTTCTGCATCTAAGACTCTAGGAGTCCTTGAATCACCCCCAAAGGTTGGAGGTTCAAGTCTACCCAGAGGCACTTTAAAAGAAAGGCCTACTGGTCTAGTTTTGAAAAAAAAAAAATCAGCCACTGAAAATGATGCGGAGCACAGTTCTAACCTGACTCACCATGAGTTAGTCTGTCACAACTGTTTACTACACCTTTTCTCAGTTGACCTGTTTCCTGTTCTGTATAGCACTGACCACTGCCCACTCTTGTTTGTCCATCTTCTCCCCCCATTCCCAAGGACAATGGACTGTGTGTCTCTTCGGTATGGGTCCCTAGCCCAGTTACAATGTGCAGCAGAGAGGAGGTACTCAAATACTTGCTGAAGGAGGGGAGTGGTGAGAAGGTGGTGGAGGAAGCTGGCCCTCAGTTCAAGGTGGTTATTCAAATCAGGTCAGGTGAACCTTATACAAGGCAGCAGGGAATGGCATTCCTTACAAACATCCAATGAACACCCACCTGCTTCCAAGAATACAGGAAGTTCAGGTTGTGGTGTAGAAAGGTGAGAAGTGGATGAAAAGGTCAATTGACTAGCTGTGAGGAGATAACAGCTGGAAAGAATTTTGACAAGGAAGATTCATTTAGACAGTATCAATTTCAATGGGAGGGGTGGCTTTGAGCTGGTAAGCATAAGGTCAACATTTCTAGTCCCCCAGCCACTCCCTGGAAGAAAGATGGAGCTTTCTGTTTCCGTAACAATGTTTACTCTCAAAAACCCACAGGGGCCATTATCCTATGTCCTATGGGGACGTTATGAGTTGAAGCAACTCAGTGTCAGCGAGTTTGGTTTTCTTGGTCTGCGTAGAAAACTTAAGGAGCCCTGGTGGCACAGTTGGGTTGGGTTGGACTATTAACCACAAGGTCAGTGGTTCAAACCCACCTCAGGAGAAAGAGGAGTTCCTCGGCTCCTGTAAAGATTTAGAGCTTCGGAAACCCTATCTGGTCACTGTGGTCAGAATCCACTTGGTGGCAGTAGGTTTGGCGTAGACAACTTGAAGTTCATGAGTGAGTTTAGATCCAAAACTGATATCTTAATAAAAGAGACGTACTCTGTGAGAGCAGGAAGATTATGACCAAGTTTTGATCATCTCCAAACCAAACCATACTCCCTGCCATCGAGTCAATGCCGACTCATAGCACTATAGGACAGGGAAGACTGGGCCTCCGGATTTCTGAGACTAATTCTTACAGGGTTAAGATGCTCTCAGAGTGGTGGTGGTTTCCAACTGTGGCCTTGTGTTTAGCCCAATGTGTAACCGCTATGTGGCCCCATATCAGGGACAGAACAACAAAGAACTAGCAAGGGACCAGGAGGCTGAGGTAGAGCATTAGCATAATCGTGTCAGAGCAGTAGCAAATGTGACACGAACAAGGTCTTCAGTCAAAGGACCTCCAGGTATCCACAGCAAGACGAGCTGCAGGAAAACATGTCAGCTGACTCTCAAAGTAGAAGCAGAGCGTCAGCCCTTGCTTTAATGGGCTAATGCCCTTGGGAGCTTGGGCAAGAATAGCCAACAACCCGTCTGTAAATCCTTTTCTGGATTGACCAATCCCAGTGCTATGTATCATAAGTGGGCAGAGTGTGCCACAATGGTCTCAATCAACATCAATGATGTTCCCAACCAGTGTATTAATAAAGTCATGTCCACACAAGATGAGGCACTCAGGAGGCCCCAAGTGACACCCTTAAGTCCTCCAGTAACTTGCCTCTGTACCAGAAAGGGCATGTCACAGAAATTTGCTTTAGACAATCTCATGTTTGAGATCAGGTCCATCGAAGCTCACGCTGGAGCCAGCTCTACTTCCAGCAGAAGTAGAGGAAGAGGGGGAGGAGTCTGTTGAGGGGCGATCTCCAGGCCAGAGAACCATGACCAGACAGACTGGTGGAACCCCCAAGACCACAGTCCTTAGTCACCATCCAGGTCTGGAATGGGACTCATCCCCTGTGACTCCAGGTTCAGCCAAACAATAGGTTATAAAGGGACCGATTATACCAGGGAAGTCCAAACTCCTTAGACATCACCATTTGAGACTGAAGCAGCAGCCTTTGCCCAAGTCCCCTTCCTCCCAGCAGGACCAACCCACAGGAGGGTCAGACCATGAGACACCCTCCCTGGGGCATCAGGTGGCTTCAAGATGCTCAAGGGACTTGACCAGGCTTCTGCTCACCCCAACCCCCATGGCCACTCTTTCCCTTTCGTTCCTGTTGGGCGAGGGGACACTGGTGACTTCCAAGTCTTATGACAGGCTGAGTCAGCTCCTCTGACGGGGGCATTCCACACCATTTCTGGTTTTCCTGGGCTTCTCCTGCTCACGCTAAGTCTTTCTTAGGAACATCGTTCGTGACCCGAGAACGGTTTGAAATGAAGACAAGGGCCATCATTCAAGAATGGGCTTCTCTAAGACAATAGTCTCATTTCAAAGTCACCCACTGGTGGCTTTAACCATGTAAATGCCTCAAAACTAGATTGAGAGCAAACTACCCATAGAATCCTTGGAAGGTGGGGTAGGGGTGTACCATGAGGGCACGCAGCTGCTGGGTGGGTGTTAGTGCCTTGGCAGAAAAGATCCTGGCCATCTCTTCTGAGAAACCAGCCCTGGGGGACCCTGCATAGCACAGTTCTACTCTGAGAGAGTCATCATGAGTCAGCGTTGACTCGTTGGTAACTGGTTTGTTGTCGTTGCGGCTTTCAATAACCTCGAGGGTCCTGGCGACAAAGTGGTTACCCATTGGGCTGCTAATTACAAGGTCAGCAGTTTGAAACCACCAGGCACTCCTCGGGTTTTCTACAGCACTAGCTTTTCTCCTCCTGTAAAGTGTGATGGTCTCAGAAACCCACAGGGGCAGTTCTACCCTGTCCTAGAGGGTCACTGACTCAATGGCAGTGAGTTTGGTTTGATTTTTCCCAATAAACCTTACTCCTTATCCTCCAAGTGAACCTATACACACTCACAGGACCCTCTGGGTGGCCCGAAGTCCCTGACACACACCAACATGCGGCTGATAGACGGGGACTGAGAGAACCAGTGCTTGGCAGCACGTACCTTGGCCACCTCCCCATGTTATCAGGTTTAGGCCGACATCAAGAGCTGCCACCTCCTTAAATGAAATGAGCTTTGTTTTGGTTTTTTAAGTCAAAACCAGACAGCGGGTTGGAGTGAATGAAGCTTGTTCACTCGGAAGGTAAATCTTGAGGGATCAGCTGCTGCCCAAGGTATGTGCAGCCTGCAAGGTGGCCAGTTATCGGAAACGGGCGGGGACAGAGGCTGGAGCCACAGAGAGGGGCGAGCCCACGTCTTGGCATTCTTTGGCTCCAGGTAGGGCTTCACTTACCTGGTCAGAAGGACAACCTGTTTGGTTAAGGAGAGGTCAGGGAAAAGGAGGGACCGTTCCATGATGGTAGGGGACAACGGCCACCATCTCGGAGGACACAAGTCCGCCAGTGCTCATGAAGACGGTGCAGGACCCGCCAACGTGTCCTCCTGCTGCACAAGGGTCACCGGGAGTCAGAGGCGACTCGAAGGAAACCAAAGACGTGGGCTTGACCAGCACGCACAGGATTCACCGGCCACTCCAGACTTCCCAGTGGACTTGGAGCCCACAGCGAGTGCCTCCCTGCCGGCCAGGCCTGGAGAGCAGGCAGCAGCAAAAG